GGTCTTTTTGTTCATTGTGTCTATTTCCCTCAAAACCCATTGCTTCACTTTGCATCAGTTCACTTGTTTGTGTGTTTCTCAGAATTCACATTTATTGGTTCTAGCAATGTGTTAATATTCCATTGCATATCTTACGTGCTATGATTTCCTTAGCTATTTCCCAGTCAATGAGTACCTACAGTATTTTATTTCTAGTTCTTTGATACTGCAAGAAGGGTTGCTATAAATCTTATATTATAGATGAGACCTTACTCTCTGTCTTTGATTTCCTTGTTGTGGTTTAGTCATTTCAGTTGTGTCTGACTTTTCATAACCCCATTTGGGGTTTTCTTGGCAAGGATACTGGAGTGATTTGCCATTTACTTCAGGGTTAAGTGACTTGCCCAGGGTCACACAGCTAGGAAGTGTCTGAGGCCAGATTTGAACTCAGGAAGATAAGTTTCCCTGACTCTAGGCCTGGTGCTCCATGCACTCTCCCATTTAGCTGCCCTCAGCCTCATTAGGATGTGTGGGTAGCAGTGCTAGGTTGAAGGGTTTGTCAGTTTATCATGTTTGTTAAACATAGTTCCAGACTTCTTTACAGAATGGTTTGATATATCTGCAGCTCATCTAAATACTAGTCTTCTTGCTGCCTCTCTAGCAAAGATTATTAAAAACACCTGTTGTCATCTTTGCCAGTTTTTTAGGTATGAGATAGAGTTGTTTTCATTTGCATCTCCTTTATGATTAGTAATGCAGGAACCATTTTTCATACAGTTGTTAATAGTTTGCAGTTATTCCTTTGAGAACTGTTTGGTAATATTCTTATCTACCTTTAAGTGACTCTTGGTTTTACATCTTCATGTTCTTTCTCTATATATCTTGGCTCTCAGACCTTTATCCCAATGTCATTATAAAAGAATATCCCACCTGACTCTACCCCTCCTAACTTGAAGATGATAAGAGGGAACCCAAACAAACTGTAGAAATAGTTGCTACATGAGATCACAGCCTTTGGTCACCAGTACTATGGGCTTTCATAATGAGTTTATCCATTTTCTTTCTATTTCTGGTAATAATTATTTGTTTCTACTGTTGTGACTTGAGGACACATGGATTGCTCTGTAGTTTGGTAGTATCATTCTCTCATTAGCATTTCCCTCTTTCTGTTCTTCCTGGTAACTTTATTCCCCTTGTCTTCCATGCATATCGTGTGCCTTTCTTGTGACATAAAAATAATAAGTGACATTGAAATTATCCTAGAAGTCTTCTTATATTATTTGAAATGTATAGAAATCATTAGGACAAAGCTCCCCAGATGTTATTTAACAGAATACTTTTCAGGTTTTAGATCATTTATTCCTTGGGGTCAGTGAAACCCTGGTAATATTATTCCCATTCTATACAATAAGAAGGTTCAAGTCTCAAATGACTTTGCCTTGGACTTCACAGTGAATCAAGGTTCAACCTTCTCTCCTCTGGCCTTCTTTTTCCTTAAGTCCTCATTGTATCCATTAGGCAACTTGGCTTCCTGGCAAAGGCGAATAGGTAGTGAAGGAAATGAAAGAAAGCAGGCCTTGGGAAATATTATTTTGAATTCAGCAAGCATTCATTGTTCATTCGGTCATTTTTCTGTTATGTCTGACTCTTTGTGATCTCATTTGGAGTTTTCTTGGCAGAGATATTGGAGTGGTTTGCCACTTTATTCTCCCATTAATTTTATAGATGAGGAACCTGAGACAAACAGGGTTAAGTGTCTTGCCCAATGTCACACAGCTAGTAAGTGTGTGAGGCCAGATTTGTACTCAGAAAGATGAGTCTTCCTGATTCCAAGCCCAGTACTCTATCCATTGCACCACTTAAATGTCCCATAAAGCATTCATTAGGCACCTCTTATATGTCATGCACAGATACCACTTCAGTGTGTAGTCTCTGGGCTCTGTTCCTGCACAATTCTAATAATCACTTAGGGTGATTATTAGCTGCTCCCTAAAGAGATTCACTTGTCACCAGGCCATGGGCTCATAGGATTATAGACTAAGAGATGAGCATGATCTTAGAGGCCATTGTTTTATACACAAAGATATGGAGGCCCAAAGAGATTATTAAGTGACTTGCACAGGGTCACATTGTGAGTAAGTGTTTGAAATCAGGTCTTTCTGAATCCAAGTCCCATACCCTATGCATTATACCACCTATACTGCCTTAATCTGCCTTATTCTCTTGTCCTCCACCTTTCTTCTTTTACATCATTATCTTTTTAAAAAATCTATTTTATTTTTGATTTATGGAATAAAACAAACATTTCCTTAACAGTTTAACCAATATTATGTACAACTTGCTATTACTTTTAAATATAGGATAAAGTTGTCATGTAAATTTTTTTTCCTTTCTCCGCCCTGCCCTATAGATGGCTACCATTAGACACAAGTGTGTGCATGTGTAAAATTATTCTAGACATACTTATTTTTATCAGTTCTTTCTCTTTTATATAATTATCAAACACTTGAAGGACCTGCCCTCGTGGGGACAATACACTAAGAGTTATAAGGAATTTTAAAAAGTTTTCTTTTTCTTTTTTTTTAAGTTCTGCCATTAAACACTACATTTTAGTTTGGGGAGATATAGCATATGAAAAATATAAACCTCAATCTAAGTCTTTGGAATATCTGTTACAATGAGTCTTTTGAAAAACCTTCTTTGCTATTTGTAGAATTCAACAACTATAGCATACACAAATGTGCATATGCATGTGTGTGTATAAACATACCTATGTACACACAAATACACACATATACATGTGCACATATACACATACATACCCACAGAGCATTTCTCAACCAAATAAAATTGCTTAGAAGAAAAAGCTTTTATTCCTAAACTCTGTTCCTGGTTTAATTTCTTTCTGTTGGGAATGGGAAATATCCCAAATTGCTTGGACTTTTTGGTTCTTCATACACTGTAGTTGACAGTTTAGTTTTTTATCCAGATGGCCAATTTGATTTAGGTCCTCCTTTAGGACTAGATTCTTTCATGTGTCACTCTTTATTGCATTGACTCAGAATACACCTAGCTGCCTCTTTTCCTCTCCCACACCTTCTTTACTGTACTTTTTTTGGTCTCATCATTAGTTGTAGTAAAGTGCAGCAATCTATAGATATAAAAATAAGATTAAAAAATGGAAGCTTGAAGATTTCTATTGACTAAGCTAAGAATGTAACTTGTATGGGCTTGCTCATATTTTGGAGTTTTGTTATGAAATCCTTCTTTTTCAAATTATAAATCTTTTAAGCAGCAGCAATCTCAAAAGATATTTGGCTGTATAGAAATAATTGTTACAAACAAAAACTCTAGCTCACATCCTCATCTGAGAAAGAAAAGGCAACTTTACCACAAGAAGGCTGCAAGTTGGTATTTGATTTTTTACTAATATAGTGTATGACTTTATGTGATGGCCAAGACTTCATATTCTGTGTGAAGGAAGGGATCAGGAGACCTAGGGTTTTTTTTTCTTTTAATCAGAGCAGGACATTTCTTTCTTATTTTTTAAAATATGATATCATTCTTAACTTGATAAACATCAACAAGCCTGAACATTTCCATATACAAATTTGTTCTCTATACAAAATAGAATGTAGGTGAAACTCTTCATCTGTATTACAAAAGTTTGCCTTTAAAAAGAAATAAGGTAAGTTCAACAGTGTAGTTTCAAGCTCTCTTGCTTGTCTATGTCTTTCTGAACTTTTTCCTGTTCTCTTCTGAATATTTTTTAAAAATGCTTCAACAATCCTCTTTTTTTTTTAATTGTATCAGTATTATTAGCTCTTTGGCTAGGTGGTGCAGTGGACAGAGAGCCAGGCCTGGAATCAGGAAGACTTGGGTTCATATCCAGTCTCAGACACCTATTAGCTGTGTGACCCTGGGCAAGTCACTGAACCCCGTCTGTCTCATTTTTCTCATCTGTAAAATGAACTAGAGAAGGAAATGGCAAGCCACTCCAGTGTCTTTGCCAAGAAAACCCTAAATGGGGTCACAAAGAGTCCAACATGACTGAAAGAATTGAATGACCATCACTTGTTCTTCCCCTCATTCAAAATAAAACAAAACCAAAAAACTTCCTTTGTTAACAAAAAAGTCTATTTCAGCACATTGTGTCCAAAAATGTATGCCTCATTCTGTACATGGAGTCTATGATTGCTTTGTCAAGAGATAAAAATAGCACACACCATGGTTGGTCATAAAATTGATCAGAATTCTTCAGTAGGAGATTTTCTCTAATATCTCTAATCTGATTGATGTTAGTTGCTTTGTAATCTAGAAAGTGAGATGCACAATCTTTTTAAAAACCAAAAACCACTTTATCTAGAAAATGTGGAAAGAACAAAATTTGTTGCTCCAGAAGAGTATACACTTGGCAGTGTGGTAAACAGAACATGGGATGGAGGAGTTCATGAGAACTGGGGTCAAGCACCGGCTCAGTCATTAATTCCCCATGTGAACTTCGACATGTAATAAACCTTTCTCTGGGTCTGATTTTCGTACTTGGAAATGAGAAGATTGGAGTAGGCGATTTCTTGGTCCTTTCTGGCTTGGTGATTCTGTAGTGCCCTCTAGCAGAGGATGACTTGTTTGTTCAGTCATGTCCAATTCTTCATGACTCCATTTGGCGTTTTCTTGGCAAAGATACTAGTGTGGTTTGCCATTTCCTTCTCCAGCTCATTTTACAGATAAAGAAAGTGACGCAAACAGAATTTAAGTGACTTTCCCATGGTCACACAGCTAGTAAGTGTGTGAGGTCAGACTTGAATTCAAGTCTTCCTGACTCCAGGCCCAGAGCTCTATCTAGTATGCCACCGAGCTGCAGGGATGACTTGTATAGGAGGACTATAAAAGCAATGAAAGGTGTTAAGATTTGTGTTTAGGTGGTACAGAAAACTCAACAAGGAGAGAACTTTAGAGGGTAGTAACAAACACAATTCCATGCGGTACTGGAAATCTCACCTTTCTGTTTTTGGTTTCAGATTGCCTGCTTGGTATCAGTGGATCAATTTCAGCTCTACCAACAATTGAAGTTCGAAAGAGGTAGGATCCTGTCTGGCCCAGTCACCATCTTTAAAACTAACGTACTTTCCAAACCACATTAACTCGTGTAGAGGCCTGGGTTAGCTGTGTACTTTCAGCAAAATAGTAAGGGTACCCTGAAAGGCAAAAGCTCTTGCTCCAATATAAATGTCATAAACTCTCTTCTCCAGTCAAAAAAGAATGGCCAGACCTAGAGCAAATGAATCTTTTCTTTGGCAGGGGTTTTAATTCTTTTCCTTGGAATCCTTATTAGATTGTGAGCTCCTTAAGAGCAGGGACTGTCTTTTGCCTTTCTGTAGCACAGTGCCTGGCACACAGTGAGCATTTACTAAGTGTTTATTGATTCATTACATGGTCCATAGAAGGATTTCTGGAGTGGTTTACAAGAACACTAACATAAAGGAAGGTGACATTTCTTTTCTGAGCTGATTTTACCACCTGGTATCCTAGTTTTTTCACATGGGTTCAAAATATTCATTTATAAAAAGGTCATCGTTTTTATTCATGTTTATTGTTGTCATTTCTAAGAACATTTAAGAACTTATTACGTTGAAGGTATAGTGTTAGCTTCTTGAGATACCGAAGTGAAAATTATCTTTTTTTAAAGAAATTTATCATTTAACAAAGAGGATAAGATAGAAGGTAAAATGTGATAAGAAAAACAGAGATCTAGATAAAATGTGGTTAAAATTTGATGAGGTAGATGGATGGTTTTCAGCTGTGTGTGATGGGGAGGAAGGAGAGGATAGTTCAGGGAAGATTTCATTGAGGGATGGCTTTGATTTAGGTCTTGAAGGATTTGAGGAGGTATGGAGCCTGCATACCCTCCACCAATTCATGGACCTGAAAGAAGGCATGACAAGGTCAGGAATAATGCTGGATTTCTGGCTATGTCTCACAGCAATGAGCATTTGGTAGAGTATAGCCTCAGAGCTACATATTTAATCTTTATTGGAGCTTTTCCCTTTTCTTTTTTTAAAACAAGCTTTTGTTTGACTTGATTTCTTTCAGACTCTGGGCCAGTGATAATTTGCTTAGCTATTCTAATTATAGTGCCCATCCACCAATATGGGGATGAATTCTTGCATCTAATTGCTCATATGCAACTACTGTAACAAAATATGACTGTGGACTGATGTCTGTGACTGACATGATCTAAACTCTAAGAAGAATTATTGTTCTGTTGTCTAATAGGCTTTTTTTGTATGTAGTCCTACTGAGGCAATCCAGTGAACTCTTCATTGATTGGCATAGTTAGGGAATATGGTACCCTAACGGGGATTGGCTTAAAATCATCCCAGGCTTCATGGTTAGTGGAACAAACACTTATTTTGGAGTCAGAGCCAGAACCTGGATCTAAATACTGGCTCTGATACTTATTACTAATCTAACCTTGAACAAAGATGGGCCTCAGCACTCCCATCTGTCATGAAGGCTTTGTACTAGGTGTTTTAAAAGTTCCTTTCCAGCTCATGATAAGTCAACCAGCATTTATTAAGCACTTCCTAGGGAAGGGAGGGGAACAAACATTTGTTAAGTGCCTACTTAGCACAGTGTACATGCTTCACAGATATCTAATATGAACTTTACAGCATTATTATCCCCAGATATATTTTTTTATTTTTTATTTTATTATTACAGATATTATTATCCCTATTTTACAGTTGAGACAAATAGGCTAAGTAACTTTGCTGAGTCACACAGCTAGTAAGTACCCAAGTTTGGATTTGCACTCTGGTCTTCCCTAGCACTTTGTCATCTGTATCAACCTTGCTGCCTTTTAGGGACCAGATACTGTGCTAAGTGCGTAGGTATCCTATATCTTGATACATTTTGAAAAAATTTATTTATTTCATCAAATATTTCCCAATGACATGTAAAAATTTTTAATATATATTTTAAATTTAATCTAATTTTAAGATAATATTTTATTCCCCCCCCCCAGTTACATGGAAGAGTAATTTTTAATATTCTTTTTCTTTTTTTAATTTTGAGTTCTAAGTTTTCTCTCTCACTCCCTCACTTAGTCCTTCCCTGAGATAGGAAGCAATTTTATTTAGATTATATATGGTGTTTATTTTTAAAAATGCTGACTGTCGAATTCTCTCTCTCCCTCACCCATTTTCTTGCTTTTTTTTTAACCCTGAGCACATCGCTCAAACAGTTTAGTTCCCAATTTCCTCATCTGTAAATGAACACTTGGCCTATTCTGAGGTCTTGCCAGGTTTAATCCCTATGAGCTTTCTGCCATACAGTGCCATATACTTATTATGCATTAAATAAATGTCTTAACGTCTATACCATAAATAGAATACCACATCATCCCTAGTAGAGGAGAGGATGTTGCTTTGGGACGCCTGAGTTCTAGTCCTATATTGTAGCTGGAGGAGTTTGGGTAAATCACATGACCACCCCAATCTTCAGTTTCCTCTAATATATAAGGACCTTGAAGATGAGGATCTCAGAGCCCTTCTAGCTCCAACATTCAAAGATTTTAATTTTTTTTTTAACATTTCTTTTACTTTTTATTTAAAAAATTATTTTATTTTTAATTTATAGAATAAAACAAACATTTCCATAACATATAATTTTAAAAAATTATCGCACATGAAACTGCAAATCTATTATGTGCAACTTGTTCTTTCTTTTAAATATAGAATAAAATTATCATGTAAATTTTTTTTCTTTCCTTCCCCCTCCCCACTCTACCATTAGGCTCAAATATGTATATACATACATACATGTATATATATATATATATGTGTGTGTGTGTGTGTGTGTGTGTGTGTGTGTGTGTATATATGTATATGTAAAATCATTCTATACATACTTTCCTCTATCAGTTCTTTCTCCGGATGTAGGTGACATCTTTCTTCCTATGTCCTTTGTAGTTAATTTGGGTGTTTAATTTGATTAAAATAAATAGTGTTCAACGCATTGATAAGCAAGGAGTAAAGAAGGGTAAAAGATGGCACTTGCCTCCAGACAGAAGTGATGAACTTAAAATGAAGAAAGAGACGTACATTTTCAGATATGGGCAATGTGGGAGTTTTTAAGGGATGGCTTTGATTTAAGTGTTGAAGGATTTAAGGAGGTAATGGAGACTATATACCTTGCAGAATGAGGAATAGCCAGCATAAATTCGTGGACAGACCATGAATGACTTAGCTATTCTCAGCAATACAGTGATCCAAGACAATTCCAAAGGACTCATGATGAAATATGCTTTCTGCCTCCAGAGAAAGAACTGGTGGAGTCTGAATGCAGAAGCATAATTTTTTTTACTTTCTTTCCTTGTTTCATTTTTTTTTGTTGGAGTTTTTTTTCCACAAAATGATTAATATGGAAATGTTTTACAAGAGTGCACATGTATAACCTATATCAGATTGCTTACTGTCTCAGGGAGGGGAGAGGGAAGGTTAGAATTTGGAACTCAAAACTTAAAAACAAAAAGCCTCAAATTCAAACATTGTTTTTACATGTAATTAGAGGGAAAAATAAACTGTGATTTTAAAAAAAGAAAAAGAAAAAACCAAATTTATGGATATAGAAGAAGGCAGCTATGTATTGAGAGATTTATTTTGTTTTTATTTTTGTTTTTTTAAATGTACTCAATATGATGGGCTAGTGGGAAGAACAGATTAAATTTTTAAAAATACTTGTTAATTGAAAATTGTAAAGATCTAATAAAAATAAATCACGCTAAAATGATACTGGATACATACTTATAAGGTGGTAGGATTGGTAGAAACCTTAGAAATAATCTAGGACAACTCCAACATTATGTCTTTGTATACTTAACATCTAGTCTGGCATGTAGCAGACATTTAATATATGCTTAGTGATTTATTGATTGATTTTCTTGTGTCAGGAAATTGAGGCTTGGGGACATTGTATAATTTTAATTTTTTTTTTTACATTTAATGACTCATCTTGCAGTGCCTCAGGATCATAATTAGGACTTAAACGTAGAAAGGGGCCTTGGAGATTTAGTTCAAACTTTTTATTATGAAGACCAGTGAGGGAAATGATTTGTCTGAGTTTTCATAGAGAGTAAGAAATAGAACCAGGAAATGAGCCCAGGTCTTTGACTCCATATCTAATTCTTTTTATACTAAGGAAGGGAACATGCATTTATTAAGCACCTACGATGTGCCAGACACTATGCTAATACAATTTACTCTTACTATCTCATTTGATCCTCATAACAGCTCTGGGAGATAGGTGCTATTATTATCCATGTTTTACAGGTGAGCAAACTGAAGCAGAGATTCAGTGACTTGCCCAGGATCACACAGCTAGTCAGTATCTAAGGCTAAACTTGAACTCAGGTCTTCCTCACTCTAGGCCTAGTATTCTATCCACAGTGCCATCTAGTTACCTCTAAAACACAACCCAAAGCTTTGGCAGTTGCCCCTGTGTCATAGAAGACCAGTTCTTGAGTGTTGTGTTAACTGGACCTCTATAAACAATTTACCAGATAGAGCTCATCGATAACTAGATGTATTCTTCATATGAAGTATCTGATCCAAGACCATCTTGTGGACAGGTGATCTTGGGATCCATGCCATGTAAAAAGCAAGACTACATCTGTGGGTGAAATCTGTAGTCACTAGGTCTTTCTGGCGCCTCTTGGGAGAAAATCCCCTTAGACATAGGCAGATCCATGGAAGATTTTGTGCTAACCCCTTAACTACCTCTTTGCAGGAGCAAACACTTTGGCCCTGGGGGAACAGAGTGTGACTTTTTGAGATCAGGGTATTGAAACAGATGTTTAGAAAGATTGGTTCCCATGGAGATGGGAGAATATGGATCAGCTTATTTATGATAGAAAGACCACTGAAATGAGAGAAAGGGGTATTTCTACAGGAAGATATTGAAGAAACCATCTTTGTTTTTTTTAAGTATCAAAAAAAACATTAGAAAGAAAAAAAATTAGCAAGACTTCAGCCCTTACTCTACCATGAAGAAGCTCAGTATTGTTTTTTTTTCTCCAACAA